TATCATAAAAGTTATCTTATCTAAGCACAGTTGTATTTAAAATAAAATGACAAATAGAATATTTTGTATTTGAATCGATCTGGAATCTAAAATTTTGAAGAAATTACGCCCTTATAAGTGTAAACAATTCTAAGGTTATTTAAGTCATTTTAATAGAAAAAGAGCTTATCAGCACTTTTTTATCAAATACCGCAGCAGCTTATTATCAATTTCAGCACTTGTATCCAAACACGTAACTACTTATTTATTAAATCAGTTTCGGTACTTAAAAGTGCTTTTCAGCACATAATGCTTATCGGCTACTTCAAATCAGCGAATCTAAACGGGCTCATTTTTGTCCTGAAAAATTGAAATTTAAGACGCACTGGGTAATTCCTAAATAACAACTCTTTAGAGTGGCTACCTGGTGTCATTTCTACGCCAAAAAATACCATTAGAGCCTATAGAAGCAATGATTATTGGAAGGGAAGATGCAAATCTAAACCAGCAGAAAATTAAAGAGAAAGAAATAGGGGCTTACCAAGCTTGGCCTTCGCGACGAAATGCCTCAGATTTAGAGCCAAGTTTCACAAATGCCATATATACCTAGAGAGTTAAGACTAAAAGTCTAAAATGCAATTGATTGTTTCAAGAATGACAAATTTTCTTTTCTCTTATACTAAATTTATCCTCTTTGCTGCATAATTACACAAACATGCATGAAGAGTTTTCTCGCGTAAAAAGAAGATAAACACACTAGAAATTAGAAGAAAGTAAGAAAATGATATTAAGGATTTAGCAGTTTATTATATACTATGTGTATATCTACCTTTTTTTAATTGTATTTATGTGTCGATATAATTCGAGTCGAAAACAATGAGTACAGCCACAACCAATGTTATGATATTAGATCCGCCTCTACAGGTAGAATAATGTGTCCCGAGTCTATGGCAGTAAATAAGAAGAGTGAAATTCGGATATTGGGTTTTTGACAGTTAAAATAACTGCTTTTTCTTCTCCTTTTATTTCTGGCCTGTTTATACTCACCATATTCACTCACTCTTGCAAACAAATACTACAAATTTTACATTATCAAAATGACATACATAAAGTGTACTAAACATTATCAATTCGTCACAGGAGTTGATAATGCAAGTAAAATACATGCATGATCTAAAACACACAAAATTACGCTATGGGGTATAATATATGCATAATGTATGTATTACATATTATAATTGTGTATAATCTGTGTATATGGCTAGAAAAAGTAAACATTGAATATGACTAGCTATTTGTGTAAGAAAAATCTTGAGAAAATAAGCGTGCTAGAATTTTCCCATATGAAAAAGTTCTGGCGATTGCCATTTTTTATGGTAAATCCTGGTGATCACCATATGAACAATTCTGGCGATTATTACGTTATGCAGCAAATCCTGGTGATCACCATATGAGAAATTTTGACGATTGCCACGAGCGCTTTTCAAACTTCTGGCCGGAGACTATTTTAGACCGATATTATTCTTAGTTTTATTTTCAACATTTTTTCTTCTTAGTTTACACCAAAATTATTCCTTAGTTTTACTTTTTTTTTTTTTTTAAATTCTTTCCTTCTTATTTACAGGAGAACGTGTAGGTTTATTTTTCGCACAAAAAAATTACTATAACAACCATGATTTTTAAGAAAGATAATTTCTATATATCTTAAAATATGATACCTATAAAAATATTTCTTTTATTACAATTTTGTCTATTATCCTTAGGGTTTATTTAGTGTTTCTAAATAGTCATAAAGAAATTAATTAGTTCCAAAATAAAATGTGAGAATATTTTATCTAGTGTATGGTTGGGTTTTACGGTTTCATGACAAGTAATCCCAAGATTATTTTATATCATAATCTTGGTAGTATTTTATACCACTACATTCAACGAATATGAGTTCATTCAATTTCAGATTAAGCACATGGTTTACACATCATATATTTTATTTTAATGAACCAGGTAAAATGTCATTGTAATAATTCAGGAATTATTACTATCAATATAACAGCTATTGCATTATAATCCCAATATAATTTTGTTGCAAACCTGACGACCCTTTAATCCTACGAGGAAACATCACCAAATTAAGTAGTCGCAACTTTAACCCAAAACTTGGCAAAAGTACAGTTAATTAACCCCAGTAAAAAAAAAATACTACTAATTAAACTCCCTTCTCAACCATGATTAGTTCACACTTAGTCGACTTCACATCATTCACTCACTAGCACATTTTGATGTAATCTAGTATCGTCATATTTACACTAAACTAAACCAACTTCCCTTATACTTAAATCCAAGAGAATAAATAATTTTTTTTTTTATCAATGTAAGAATTATGAATATGACACCCGAAACATGTACCTAATAATATTAGGGATAGTTTGGTTTAAAAAAAAGTTAGGCTGAAATTAGTTTTTATGTTGGATTAATTATTCTCAAGGGTGGCGAGAGGGTGAAGCCGCTAAAGCGGGGGGCCCCAGAATTTTAGGGGCCCAATTTTTTTTCTAATTCCTACTCGATGTCCGGAATTTGATTTAAGGTTTGACTAATTCGAATTCGTATCATATAAAGTCCAATCAAAAAACAATTTTTTACCTCAGATTACCGAGGGACGCCCCTCGGTAACAAGGCTTTACCGTGGAAGTCTGTCGGTAAGTGGTACGTAGGTAAATCGCTCCTCGATAAAAGTTACCGATAGAATCCCTCAGTAATTACAAATGGACCCCATCGGACAACCATCGGTAGCTTTCTGACACAATTTGATCAAATAATTTTAACGTCGGTATATTATAAAATAATATAATCTCAATAATATCCATACTGTTGGAGATATCTCGGTAAATTGAAAATAATAACTTAATGTTACCGACGGACACCATCGTTATATTTAGAATTTTAATTTAGTAAATTTAAAAATTTAAAATACGAATTAATCATATTTCGATGGATATCTGTCGGTATGTTCAACGAAATTTAAAAATTTATTTTTAGTATACCGACGAGCTCCCTCGGTAAATAGGATATCTGGATTGACAAATAAATATTTTTTCGACGGACTCTGTCGGTAACTCCCTCGGTATATCTGGTATATTATTGACAAACAGTGCTCATTTTTGTTGCACCACCTGCCAGCCAGAATATTCAATAGAAACAGAAATGCAACCACAATAAAACACAAATTAACAACAACAAAATTTTATAAACTATCCAAACATCCAAATTATCCCATCAAACATCAAAATTATCCAACCAAACTTCGTAATCGTCCAATCAAAACTAAACAAAATGCAACCAAACTTCAAAATGTAATATTCAAAAGTAAACATCCAACCAAACTTAAAATCACTCCTCATCTTTGGGTTCCCCCTCATCTTCTTTATCATTTATATTGTTTCCATTACTTTCATCCTTTTCATAAATGTGACTTTTTGGCAGAGAGCGGGGCAGGCCGTTTAAGTGGTTCACTTGAGCCTTGAGGGACTCGATGTTATTCCTAAGTGCAGTCATAATCTTCTCTTCCTGGATTCTTTTTTCTCGTTCATCCGCATAGTTCCTAGAAAGTTGTTGAATCATTCGTTGCCTCTCCTCAAGCACCTCACTTTGCACGGTACCATTAATACACTTATATTAGTGTGTAATTATTAATGAATAGGCTAATCAATAACTAACATTACTTAAAAGATACCACAAATCTACTTCTACTTAGGGTAATTATTAATTTATAAGCTAATTACTACTACTATATTATTATTTAGTATAATTAGTACAAATACAGTTTCACTTAGTGTAATTATCAATAAATTAGCTAATCAACTCACTAGCATAATTATGTAAGCACTTACAAAGGGACTTACCGACAGTAACCCTCGCGATTATTTATAAAACGAATATAAAATCATTATGTATAAGATTATATGTTTATAGTACCGACAGAAGTCTATCGGTAAAGTAAAAAAAAATACAAAATAATTATAAATTATTCATTAGCGAGGGATTACCACGGTTGATATAATTCTTTTTTATTTATTTTTGGTAATATAATGACAGAGGCAATTGATACTGAAAAAAAAATTCAAAATAATTATAAATGCAATAGCGATTGAATCTATCGGTGTACTATATATTTTTTTTAGTTACATCGAGAGAGATCGGTACTGTAAAAAAATAATTCGAAAAAAATTATATTGTAATTAGCGAGAGAGTCCGTTAGTAATCTACTGTCACGCTCTAAAATCCATTAAAGGTCGTGATGGCGCCGGACGCCACTGCCAAGCAAGCCAACACCAAGAAGTTAATTAAATTCTAATTTTAGTATTTTTAAAATCATTTCTTTTCCTTACATTTAACGATAAATAATGAACTTCACTGAGTAAATAATGATGTCTTTAGCAAATTTAAATACTGAATAATCTCATAGTCATCCCAGAACCCGGTGTCACAAGTGCATGAGCAATTTCTAGGAATTAAAATGTAATACAATACTGTCCGGAATACAAATTGGACAAAAAAGAAAATACAATACTCTAAAAGAGACTCTGCTGGCTGCGGGTCATCTCGAGAGATGCAGCTCACCTAAATCTCCGTATCAACCATGCCACTGCGCCCAACGAGGCCACTAGACATACATGTGCATGTGCAACAAAAATGCACAACAAGTGTAGTATGAGTACGAAAATAATGCCTACCCAGTAAGTATCCAGTCTAACCTCGAAGAAGTAGTGACGAGAGATCGACTTCGACACTTACTTGTGGTTCAATAGTGTAATACCAATAATGTGAAAAAATCATGAATTTTATAAGGCGACTGCAAACTCATAATCATGAAGCAGGTAAACATTTCTTTTGTTAATAGAAATTTTCAAACTTATTTCCATCTTTTTAACAATTTACATCCCCGGCCAATGAGGCCACATCAATTATCAATAATTTCAAAAACAATCAAGCAAGTCATGTGCAAATCATGGCGAGGTCATACGACCCGATCCAACATAATATTTAAACTGTGCATTGCCAGAGGGTCGAATGGCGTGAACCATAGATGCATCTATTATCCCGCTCGCGAATCATAAATGCGACGCGTGTACACATAGATACACACATTCAAACAGTCAATCAAGACTTCATCAAGGAAACAATAACCCACGGAAATGACAACTTCTCTTTTAACTATCAAGAAAGTGATGTTTAGCCCTTTAGAAATTTATTTACCAAGTTCGATATGATTTAAGCTTTTTAAATTATCAATAAAATTACAAATACGGCAAGTAAAGCATGCCTTTGGGTCCTAGACTACCCGGACTTAAGCATAATAGTAGCTACGTACGGACTCTCGTCACCTCGTGCGTACGTAGCCCCCACAAATAGGAGCACATATTTGCTTATTTCACCTATGGGGTTAATTCCCTCTTACAAGGTTAGAAAGGAGACTTACCTCGCTCCGAAGTTCCATAACGGCTTCCAAGCCCTTCCGATGACTCAAATCGATGCACAACGCTCCAAAACGAGCCAATAATTATGCAAATCCATTAATATATGCTCAACTACCCATTATAATCTAATTTATAACAATTTCTAACCCTGGTCAAAAAGTCGATAAAAACTACCCTCGGGCCCACATGCCCGGATTTCAAAATTTTTCGAAGATAAACTTTACCCATAACCTCACGAACTCAAATATATAATTTACTCTCAATTTCATGCCCAAATTTTCACTAATTTTCCATGTTATATA